AGAGCAAAAGGTATCAAAAGGGAAACCGGAAACAAAGAACACAAAGATCTTCCGTAAATCACTATCTGCTCAAATTTTCAGAAAATAAGCGATTCGACGTTGATAACTCATTCCGTTGTGCGCCATGCCATCCGACATCATTCAGGATTGCGATGGTATTTGAATGCGCTTCGACCTAGGTAGCGGCTCAACCAGTGCGTACACATGAGTGTCCCTACCAGTCCATTTCTAGTATCACGGCCTGAACCGGATAGAAGGAAAGAATGGATGGGCTGGGCGCAAATCGTTCCAAAACTTGTTACCTAAGCCCTATTTTTGCTAATTCATTTCCGCCCTTGCAGCACAATTTTCAAGAAAAAGCTGCTATCTATACTTAACATGAGAAAGGTTCGCGAGTCCAACTTGCTCTGGAGGCTCCTGTCACGAGTTGCCACGAAACCATTGAATGTGGATGTGTATATATGAGATGTATAGATCTGACTTTCCATAGCGGAGGTAATTCGCAGTGTCACTCACCCCTTTGTGGCGTTAATTACGTGAAATTAGGTCAGACTCTAGCGCAGCGCTCAGCAGGCACCACCATCGAAAACATCTCATCGACGAAACGTTCGTTGTCGCCTGTCTCGTCCACCCCTTGCCCCCCCCCCGCGCCGTGTTCCCATCGTCGCCTGTTCTCCGCAGAAACAGCCTTTTGTCGGCTGGCTGAACGCTCCGATTTCTCCGAGGGACACCTCGACGTTTCGCAAGTGTTATCGATTTTTCCTATCTTCACATTTTTCATTTTTCACTCTGTTCTTTTTCGTTGTCACCCCTTCTGTTTCTCCACCCCTGCATATCAGCTCAGCCATTGCAAGCCAGCAGATCGGGGTGTTTCAGCGCGAAAACCGGCTGACATCTGGAAAGGCTGGAAATCGATCGCAACTGTTTTTCGTTGCTGGACATTGACCTTTTGCGAGCGCAATCCCCCAACGACCTTTTCGTTACTGATTTTCATGGTTGTCCCGAGTAGAAAAGAACGAAATTTTCGAATGTTGTCATTTCCCTGTTGGCTTCGCTCTTTTCCGGATGGTTTTCCGGTTGAAAGGAGAAAGTTGGTTTTGAAAAATCCTCCTGGCCATTTGAACACAAACTTTTCTTTCATGAATTTGTTGGATTTGACAAAGTATAAGGGAAATAAGTGTCAAAATAAGGTATTTTCTCGCGTTTTGTCTCTGCATGCAGTGGAAAGCGAATGAAACGCCAACTTCCCCGCTACATTTTGTTGAAGTTGATCCTATTCTGGAAGGCTCTCCGGTTAGTCTGGGAAAAATCGGATGCTTAAATCTTAACCTTTTCGCGATCGAGTTGGAAGTAAAAAAAAATGTGGAAGAGAAATGACGGGGGAGTCTGGCAGTGCATAGCAAATCGTACTGAACAACAGACGCGTGGAAAGTAGGAAATGGACCTCAGACACCCCCAAATCGAGGACGAGGCTCGTCCATTTTGTTCGATTTTACTGGCGGGAGCGGCGGTTTCGGCGTGATAAGGATTGTCGGTCCCTCCATCGGGGTCAAGTACCATCGAACTGATGAGATGGTGGGTTTGATTGAAGCGGCTACTGTCGAACCACCTGGAACCATTAGTAACATTGGATCTGTGAGAAAAAAACTCAAGACTGGAACTTTTAATTTTATTGTTATCCGTTTTTTCAGTTTATTGATGTTTTACCTATTTGCTAATTGAATAAAAGTGTATTATAGTTACCATTCATTATTTTATTTCCTTTGGTCCTTAATATTTTTAAGCTTATTATCTTTACACAGTTCAATAGTCCTACTTGTCACAGTAGCTTCATCTTCATCTAGGCTCACATGGCCCGTGCGAAGTCAAGCTGCTGAGTCAGCTGTCAGATTACTACTTTGCTAGTCTGACCTTCTGCCTTCTGGCAGTCGGACGTTCCGTAGAATTCGTTGTGCTTTCCATTTTTCTTGAGTAAAACGCCAACAATTACCAAAACACTGCGCGTGCATTTGTGAGAATGGACGCTCTCAGTTGGCTCATTATCTTGAACGAAGGGGAAGCGGAGGGGGGGGGGGGTGGGGGAAAGCGCAGCGCATACCTCAACTACAGTAAACCCTTTATTACAACGCTATCACTTTTGTTCAATGCCAAGTGTGTTATAAAATGATAAAAGCAACAGCTTTCAGTTGTTAGGTGTGTCCTTTTGTTTTTATTTGAAAGGTATTCGGCTCGAGCTTGTCCTATTGTTATTACTGGAAAAACAATTGTCATTGATCAGTCCTGATCTGGGATGAGCCATGAATTCCATTTCTACCTCAGAAATGGAGGTGGCGTTTGGATGGATTTGCCCTAAACAGCTTCTTTGTGCATCAACCGATGTGTGAATTAGTGTCTTTAGCGAATTTGGTAAACTATCAAATAACTGGCCTCAAATAGTCAGAAAGCTTTATTAGCCTGACCTGATTCGCTTTGGGATTGATGCTCGAATCGTGCTTGAGGGAAGTGCGGCCATTTCCAACTGCACCACATTTTCCCATGGTGTTCATGAACATTCAATGCTATGAGATCCACATTTACTGGAATTTCTTGAAGCAATCCAAGGATAGTTCCACCAGTTCTGATTCTGTCTGGGGTATGTGTGAAACAAGAACCGAATTACTTCTTTGTTCTTCCCTCCCCTTCCCCTCCATATTTTACGTTCTGTATTTGTAATGCAATCTGACTATTTCCCTAGGAATATCCTTCAATTTATGGTCGTTTGTCTCATAGAAAAAACCTAAATGATAGGTTGACAACCAATGCGTCCATCCGCTACCCCGCAATAGGGAAACAGGAGCGGTCAGAGATTAAGGGTATGACGTTCCAGCCGCGATCCTCCCACAAACCACGCACGCCACAAATACGATATACACTGAGCGCCCGCATGCTTGACCCTGTGACCGTGTTCGGGGGAAATCGGGCCTCAACCATGGCTCAGATTTGCTGACACATCCTGTATTTTTCCTTTTCTACGAAATATCTCCTACATGGATTTTACTGTTAGAATGGCTATCCAAAAAAAGCTCTTACGTGAACGTCATCTTGGAGCACGTAAACAGCCCTCATTTTGAAATTTTTGAGGTATTTTTGAAGGGTTTTCATACTCAGCAAAGTTTTCTCACCTTTTCGTGTATATTTGTCATCCAACTCTTACTTAATTCTTCTTATATTTTCATGTATGTGCCATTCAACATTTTTTAACT